AAAATCCAGTATCTAAAAATCTAGTTGTACTCTTTCAAGAGTACAAGTCACATGTGTCGCTCAATGTGCTGACCTCATTGTAAGTGCTGGCAATGCTAGAGGTCTGCAGTCACCCATACTCAGTCCCTTGAACAACAACCCTGAACTGCTTCTTGCTTTGTTTCCTGAAGGCTGCAGCCAAAAAACATGATCTTGCACTCTGATTCCACTAAGAAGATAGGGCTACCTTGACACTAGCTCTGAAGACCTCCAACAAATACTTCAGAACAGGAAAGAAATAGTTTGAGTGACCCTTCCCAAGTCAGAGACACTGCACAGTGCTAGGAGATGCTCTCTTTCCGATGAGGTATAAATCAAGGTCCTAACCAGTTGTAGTTATTAAAAACACATTAAAGACATTTTATTTTTGAAAAGTGGGAAAGGATACCCCAGGTAACAGTCCAAGTTCCAGCCTGGCTATGTACATCCTGCCTCTTGAAACTTCTCCTATCATTTTCAGTCAGATTCAGAGTCTGTTACTTCCTATCCCAAGTTCCTGTAATGCACTGTTTAACAGCAGCCAGATGGGGCTCCTAGTTGGAGACGGGTGAATTGATATCTGTGGGTAATTGACATTTCATTTTAAATTTAGGAGCCACTTGGGGATTCTGAAGGTTGAAAGGCGCTCTAGAATTAAAGTTCACAGAAACAGGATGCACCAAAAAATAGCACATAGTTGGAGCCAATTTTGTTTGCTTCATAGGAGGCCTTTCAGTGGAGGTTGCACAAAGCCCTCTTCCAGCCTCAAGGCTCCCCATTGCTGCCACCTCTCTGGCTCTGAAACACAAGGGAGTCCTGTCCCAGAAGGCATGCAAGCCTTTCCTGTACCAGCCTGGAGGGATCACTACAGAACACACAGCATTCCCCTGTCCCAAGGCCAATTCTCTTTCCACCATTGTGCTCTACTCAGGGAAGCAAGAGCCAGGATTTGCATTCTCAGGTAGCAATATCGTACTGCCATCCTTGATCATTCAAATATCACACATCATCAACCTACTCTTCCCAAAAATCAGGACGTTGGTTTAAAAATCATGACATTTTAAGAAGAGAATACATGCCAAGATCTCTTCATTCACTGCCTGGGGATTGAGCTGTTAGGAGCCACACTGCCAATTTTTTCTTTGAAATCAGGAGGTTTGGAAACTTACATGCAGTTTAAATAAAAGTTGAGATTCTTCCATGACTCCAGGAGCTGGAGCTTTAGAATAAGTATAAGGCAAGACCTGTGATCCAACTGAGTGAGTTGCAAGTAGGCTGTGCAATGTGATCACTGAACTAGTTGTCTTTGAACCAGATCAGATCTGTGTGAAGGTGTGTTGCTGGTATCAACCCCAAAGGACAGAACACTCTGGGTTTATAATGAGGAGCTTGGCAGATGCTTAACTATAGCACCAGTGCCTTGTGCTACTCAAATACTGGCTCTGGGGCAGCACTGCCTCTGGGTTACTCTTGTTTCTGAGCATGTGGAGCAAGGGGAGAGAAAAAAAATGTAGCTACCTCAATTGTCTGGCTAAACCTTGGAGGCATGGGAACTTTTCATCTCAGAGGTCATTAGTGAAATGAGTGTGGTCAGATCTCAGCCTATTCTCTCAGGGATGGAAGTTTTCATTTCAGTGCCATTGCACAATATGGCATAATTGGCCATGTCTGCTAAAAAGAGGTCCAGGACTGAAGTGGCAGGGGATGTGGCCTGGGCTGGGATCCTGAACAGATCTGTGAGAAGAGTAGAGACTGGAGGGACTGGGGTGCCAGGGCAAAGGGAAGTGGGGGTGGGGAATTTACAGAGAGTGTTCCCCTTGCTACACCAGGCTCAGTCCAAAGCCACCAGCTTGTTGCTTTCCCAAGCACAAAGAGCAGAAAGCAGATGTCTCTGGCTTGGGTACAAAGCACTGTTTTCGATGCACCTGCTCACAGAGCATGTCCTCGTTTCCCCACAGAAAGGAGCCAGGGATGTGTTTTATCTGAGGCTGTTAAAAAAAAAATCCATGTGTGAGGTGCAGTGTGGAGACACGGTCTGAGCAACTCCCAGTCAGAGCTTCCTGCTGTAAATGAGATGTATCTGAAGCCAGGTCCCTGCTCTTGGCAGCTTGCCCAGTAGTGGTCTAAATCTCATTCTGCAGTTTGAAGCTTGCAGACAGCTATTTAACACAAAGAGCCAAGCTGTTATCTTTTCCCTTAGGGCTACCATCTCTTTCACTTCTCAAATGCCAAATTATAGTCTACATTTAATTTCAGTGCCACAGGGAGATTCATGTCAGGGGAGGGCAGCTTCATTTAAAATTAGCCACATTAGATTAACAGTGATAAAGCCAAGAGAGCCATGGGGGGAGGGATTTAGAGAGAAACATCCTCCTGAACCCACCTTATTCCCAGCCCAGCCAAGGGAGGATGCCTTCCCCACATATGATTGGTTTGATATATCCTAGCACTGTGCAAACATTCGCTTGGATGCTATTTCAGGCATCTCAGTTTTCATGATGCAACATCACCCTGGATTCCTGAAGGAGTTAAAATGCCCAGTCCATGGAGTTTGTATACAGTCAGTTACTGGGCAATTGGTTTTAGTACAATGCCTTCAGAGTGACACCACTACCATGCTGATATGTAGCCCAGACTGGCTGGAAGACATATCAGCCCCCCCCCCCCCCCCATAAAGCCAGAGACCTAGATATAAAACAAAAGAAAATGGAGACAGCTGTGAATCAAACAATCCACAAGACCAACCAGATCCTGAAACAAGCTGACAGCATGAGCTCAGGGATTTAGCAACAAGCAGGGCTGGCCAGAAAATAGGAGAATCAAGTAGCAGAAAGTCTGTTTCTTTTTGGTTTTAGGAACAAAAAAGGAAACCCAACAACCAAACTATTTTGCAAAAAAAACAGAAAGTTTCAGGTTCTAGCAAAACAATGTCAGCTTCCCAGCAGCAAAAATAACCCTTCCGGAAGAAAGCAGCTCCTTCCTGTGAAGTGTTTCTGTCCTGTCAGAAACCCAGTTGTCTATTGGGGTTTTTTTTTTTTGGAATATTGGTCTAATCTTTGCAATGAGCTTTGGAGCCCTGCAGCTTTTTGATCTCATTTCAGCCTCACGCTTAAAAGATAACTTGCAAAGGATGACCTGGGATTTGTTTTAAAGTTTATTTCTCCCTCATTGCTTTCTCTTTCAGAAATGGCAAATCTGCATTTCCTGGTTGTTCAGAAGGCTTGATGTAAGGTCTCATGGATCTTCTCATTAGCTATGACACCTTTTAAGAGAGGCTCTGAATCTTTATTAGACATAACTTCCCTCTAAAATAGAGGTGATCCACCCACAGCCCATGGGCCACGTGTGGCTCATGGATCCATATTACCCAGCCCATGGAGCTCCCCAGGGTTCTGAAAATGTGGGGCTGGGGGAGCAGTGGCAGCTAATTGTGGCTCCCCTGGTATCACATTTCTAGATCCAGGGGGAGCCCTGCAAGCTGGACAGCATGGCCCTGTGCACGTGACAGAGGAGACAACCAGGGTGGTGCAGGTCCAAGCAGCACAGCATGGAGCAGCATGGGGTCCGTTTGTGGTTCACAGGGCCTAATCCGACCGATCTTATCCAGCCTGTGAACAGAACTAAAGGCAAAGTTTGAAAGAGTCTGAATAAAACTTGTTCCCTCTCAGTTGTTCACTTTCCCCTCTTCTGAGGTCATTTCATTAGATGTTCACTCACCACAGATTTTTCAAGCCTAGATGAGACATGAATTTTCTTTTCTTTTTTTTGTTTTTTTATTAACCTTACAAAAATACAGGTGAAGACTCAAGAAAAAAACCTTTTAGACTTCCTTTATGCAAAATACAGCAGCAAAACAAATGGCCCAAAGCCAAATTTTCTTCTTCTACTCCCACTGGCAGCTCTTCCATGCCTTCCTTTTCTCACACTTGAGGCAGCTGGTCCCCATGACCTGGGAACAGTGGGTTCTTTTCCTGGGGCTGCCACCGGGCACTAAGGACATGAAAGGGACAATCATCAGCCCATGCCTCAGCTTCCCTGCCTCTAAAAACAAGGCTAGTGATATCAGTCTTATTTGTAAATGGGCTTTAACATCTCTGCTGAAAGTCACTTAATGCAAAATAAAATACATTCCTG